AACATCACTTTTTATCACATTCTCGTTGGACTCATTGTCTTATGTTTTGGACTTATTTTAGCGTTTTTTGTCTCAATTATTGAACATTTTTGTAACAAAAAAGTTTCATATAATACAAGACAATCCAATTACACAATTACTGTGAGTCTGATTTTGCAATATTTGTCTTTTATATAATCATTGATTTTCTGAAATAATTTGTCAGAAACAGGAGGAAAGCCTTGAAGAAGAAGATAAGAGTTCAGCCAAAAAGAGGATAATTAAGGACTAGAATCGACACAATCTTTGTTTATATAATCATTTAAAAAGCATTTTTTGTGTTTGTCTTATACTGTATGTTAGAATCATATAATATTTCAGCACACAATCCATGTGTAAACGATTTACATGTTATATAAAAAATAAAAATACACTACAATTAGGGCCAGTCGTTGACCGGTTTCACGCCTAACACTTTGTATAGCAAATTGATAATCACAACCACTAGACAATTGTCGTCCACTAAACACTATTATCATTAAAAACAAAAGCCTTTTTGTAGAGAATTTTATACCTGAAGAATAACATTCAATGCCTTTTTATATCACAAGAATTTTGAATTGTATTCATTCAAAATATATGCTTAACAATGAAAGTATTCACACAACAAAATGCATTGTATTTTGGGATCAATTTATCGCATCAAATAAATGCAAACCAAATGTGACTAAATTTGTATTTAAAATTTTGATGCATTTATTTGAATAGTTTTTAAATAATTGTATTGTGTTTTATACTGTATATTATAAATAAATAATAATCAATCAGATATGAAAAATATTGCTGTATATTATAAAACATTTAATAAATGATAATATAATTCGTGAAAATTTAAAATACTTTTAAAATACATCGAGATTTGAATGTTAGTTGTATCGTCCGGTTTGTGAATCAATGGTCTGAATAGATTGGGCCTCAGTTAACAAATCACTGCTTTGGTTTTTGAAGTTGAGTCTGGTTTTAGCCTTTCCTCCTGTTTTTATTCACACATAAATTAGTCTAAATTCAGATTATTAATCACTGAATGGATACAAACCACTAAATTTGACGACAACAAATCCAACGGCTAATAACAAAATGATGATAATAAACGCAAACACAACTATTAAGATGATAAACAACTGGTGTTCATTGGACTCCTTTGCAATCGATTGAGAATTTGTCGATCCATTTAGGTTTGGCGCTAATGTGACGCTCACTACAGGATTGTTACCATTGACGGGTCCGCTGGCATTGCCGTAACAGTTAAAAAATTCGTGAACAGATTTACCCTATTTTGACGACAAATAAAGAAAATGAACTAAAATTAGAAAACAAATTATTTTAAAAATATTTGAACGCATACTAAGGGCTCGAATGCGCGATTTGCTGGATATATCTTCATAGTATACAGCTTTGACTCGTAGTCTCCGGCCTGACGTCTGTCTCCGAGGGCCACAACCCTTTGCCAGACGTTTCGCTCGACAATCATTCCCACAAAAGTGATGTCAGAATTGAGTTTTTGTGATTTCATATTCTTATACCAGTCCTGACTCTCTATACTATTCCATCGAATAAACGATTGGTCCGATTGTCCGACGATATACAGCACTTCATGCGGCGGCTCGAAGAAGACACTCGCCCGGGGAGACGACCGGTATGCGGCGTCGCTCCACTCTTGGGGCCAAATGTTGCCAATTGTCTGTATATCGAGACCCCAGGGATATTCATCGGGGTTTATTTTTCGGGTGGAGCCGTCGCCGGAGAATAGGCGAACAAATGTGTCCTCTTTTCCCGTCGAGTCCTGAGTGCGAGTAAAGTATAGGTTCTGTGCGTTGATTATCGGACGACAGTAATCGTCGGGTCCGCGACAGTCAGGAGTTTTTGTTACACTAAATGCTGTGATTGTTGACGGCTCTGAACAATGCATTCAAAACATGATTTGATTAAAATATTTGATTTAATGTAAATTTAATTTGAGATTTGAATGCCTTTATCGGGCGGTTCATCAAATTTTCCTGTTCTCCCATTGAAAGTCCAAACGTAAAAATCTGAGCCAACCTTTGATTTAATCTTTACAGTCATTCCGTCGTGAAATAAAGCATCGAAATGAGTTGTACTGCAGAATTGGGGCCCATTTTGACCACTACTGCCATTTGCCAGCATATGAATCAATACAACCACTAAAATATTCTTATAATAGTTCATAATTGCAATTAATTGGTCAATGAATTACAATATTTCATATAATAATTGACAATTTATAGGATACCAGTTAAAAATCAAATTTATTTTAATAAATTTAATTTTGGTTTTAATCGCGAGCTCTAACTGAATGACAAGTAACTGAACGATAGTAAATACGAAAAGATATTGTTATGAAATCTTAACACATTTTGTTTACTATTTTACATAATTTTACTAAATTTACGTAAATTTTTACTAAAAAATTATTAAATCCTTAATCATGTACAATTCTTTATATAAATGCCTAATGTGTATAATTATCTTAAATATGTCAATATTTAAATTAGTTAATAAGTGCCTAGCACTTTTAAAATATATCCTTCTCAATCAATATTAGTTTTTAATGTGTGTGAACCATTTTATTATTTGTCCAACTGTATGACAATGGGCTAGGTGCTCGTTAGGTAAACTATGAGTTAACTTGACTATAAGTCTTTGCTATAGTATTTAAACTACAAGTTCATAAAATATCACTTTTCGACACCTGCCGATGCCCTCAAAGATGATATCTACTATTTTACAATATCTACTATTATAATAATCCACTATTTTATCACATGTGCTAAAAATCAATGTTTTATTTGAGAAATACGAAAATAAATGATTGATCGTTTGGTCTAAAATCAAAAACAATATGAATTGTTACAAAAAATACTTTTTCCCTGAATCGTGTGATTTTCTATTTTAGCCGTTTATTGATTTTATAATTTCTATCATTTTTGTTGCAAAATATAATTTCTTAAGTCGTTTCGAAAACAACTGAAAATGAATTATTTTAAAGATTTTTGCCTTATTTTAAACTCAACGAACAGATACTCTGCGGAAAATAATGTGTCCAATAGTGTAGTTATTGGCGTCTATTTGGATCGGGTTTGCCATTGATTTCAATGATATTTACACTCATTTTAATGGATTGTGTTTTGCTAAATAGATTTTCAACAATCAGTATCTTTGCGATCCAAATATGTATTTAATGAAAATTCTAGAACAAAAATACAAGTATTATTTATTTTTGTTTTTCCCCTAATTTATGAAATGTAATCAATTCTTTCAGACTATTCTTCAACATTGCATTTGACAACAAAGGCGGACATATGCTGTCAAACGGGTCGTGGAGCGGAGCTCTCGGTCTCATTTACCGCAATGTATGACAATTGAGAAATCGCAACAATTTTGATAACCATATGTTTCAGGTCTCAGATGTAGTTTTGGCCATTTTTGCATTGGATTCCGATAGACTTGGATTAGTATATTTTTCTCAATTAATCCCAGACTCTGCTCTCCCAACGATTCTCAGTTCACCTCAAAACGAGCCGAAGACTCAACTTTTTAATATCTTAAACTCATTTAACAAATCCGTTTGGATTTTGATTATTATTAGTTTTATTTTTGTCAATTCATTCAGTTTTATAAACAAAACTTCGGTCGAAATTAAGATAAAAACATTTTTCAATTATTTTTCCATTCTTTTAGGAAAAGGTTTGATATATTTTATGCAATTATAATAAACATAAATTAAACTCTACTTTTGTAGCCATAAGAATCAAATCCTTTGACAATCGATTTATAATCATTTTGTGGTCATTTGTGTCCATATTTCTGATCACACATTTTGTATGCGATTTAAGAGCTCTGGAAGTGTCCAAATCGGAAGTTAAAATCAAAACTTTTGACGATTTAATCACGAAAAAGGAAATAAATATTTTAGTCGTAAAGAATTCACACGTTATGAACATTTTAAGTAAAAGATATGAGGAATTGAGGAATAGATTGGAGTTAATTGAACACAAAGAGGCCTTTGATT